TTGTTTTGCCTTTTTATCTTTCTCTAGGCTTCATAGCTGCAGATATTAAAGGCACAGGAACGTTCACTCAGCTTTTCCTCATCACAGACTACCATGAGAATGGATCCCTCTGTGACTATCTGAAATACACTACCCTGGACACACAGGCTCTGCTGAGACTAGCATACTCTGCCGCCTGCGGTCTGTGCCACCTCCACACAGAGATCTATGGCACACAGGGCAAACCTGCCATCGCTCACAGAGACTTGAAGAGCAAAAACATCCTCATTAAAAAGAACGGCACATGTTGCATCGCTGATCTGGGCCTGGCTGTCAAATACAACAGGTGAAAATGACTGTAAATACAAACGGAACACTCAGTGTAATACACACATCAGTTATAGCTAGAATGCAGTTCCATGTGTAATGTACTGACACCATGCTTTGTTTTTATAGTGATACCAATGAGGTGGATGTCCCTTTAAGTACAAGGATGGGCACGCGGCGATACATGGCACCAGAGGTCCTGGATGAAACCCTAAATAAGAACCAATTCCAAGCATACATAATGGCTGATATTTACAGCTATGGTCTCATTGTTTGGGAAATGGCCCGTCGATGCGTCACAGGAGGTATGTTTTATGTTATAGTGTATTTTAGGTTGTGACAACGTTGGCACCTTTCAAAGCATGATTATGTCTGTCATTTATTTAAATATCCTTTTCTTTCTGTGTAGGTATTGTTGAGGAGTATCAGTTGCCATACTGGGACATGGTACCCTCAGAACCATCCTATGAGGACATGAGGGAAGTGGTATGTGTTAAAAGCATGCGGCCAGTGGTGTCTAATCGCTGGAACAGTGACGAGGTAAGATCTAGCACCTTCAGTTCAGATGCAATTTCATCTATTATCATATGCAATTTACTCAATGAAAAAATAGTAAGTGTGCAAAATATACGTATTGATTATATTTTAAAATGTCATGCATTGCTTTTGAAGGCAAATCTCAATGTTCAGCAGTCACTTACTTAATTACAGTCTTCATTGTGTCACATGAATTTTCAGATATTGCGTTGCTGATGTGGTTCTTAAGGGATATTAATTATTAATACAAATTCACAGATACTCGATTTCTCAACTGATTCTGCTAGACCAGGGATGTCCAAACTTGGTCCTGGAAGGCTGGTGTTCTGGAGAGTTTAGCTCTACCTCTAATCAAACACACTTGAACCAGCTAATCAAGCTTTTACTAGATATACTTGAAATTTCCTGGCGGGTGTGTTAAAGCAAGGTGAAGTAAAACTCAGCAGGATACTGGCCCTCCAGGACCGAGTTTGCACATCTCTGAAGTTATTAAATATCTGAGTTATATTTTTCAATTACTTTGGTTCAAATGAACACTTGGTGTCAGTCAAAAAAATATTAGTCAACATTAACTCGTTAACTAAATTTCTAACATTAAATTGATTTCTTAATTTATAAAAAAGTATTTCTTGATATTAATGTATCAATTCAGCTCTTTGGATTGACAAGACATAATTGGGTCTGATTGGTAATACTGATAATTAACTATTATTATTGTAAATGTTTGCAACAGGTTTGTTTTTGTGGAAACTCTGACACAGCTTTTAGGATGCTTTAAATAAGACAAAAAAAAGTAAAAAAATAAATAAATAAATAATAAAATTTTAATCAAGAATAAAAATACTTGAAACAGTAAATTCACCTAGATATATTTACAACATATAGCACTGCAAACCATAAATTTGTTGATGCTGACTTTGAAGAGCTTTTCCAAAATATATCTCACCAATATCTTATCATTTACCTAGAAAAAGCATATTATTGTTGTGTTTATCTGCTTATAAATAATCCATTTGCATGATGTTGACAATTGTTTGTAAATACATGGCTAAAACCACTGCTCTCTTGTCTCCATCTCAATGCAGTGCTTACGAGTCATGCTAAAACTTATGTCTGAATGCTGGGCCCACAATCCAGCCTCACGCCTCACAGCTCTTCGTGTCAAGAAATCACTCGCCAAAATGGTTGAATCACAAGACATCAAAATATGAGCAGTACTCGCTGTGCTGCCAGTCTGAAAGAAATCAAGGAGATACATGTGCTCACTTTGTGAATTACTGCTTCAGTTCCTAACCAGACCTATGGGGGCACTGCTGAGCAGAACTTTTACCTCCCCTTCTGGCCATATTTCCTCACCCATGTTGCAGTTATGCTCTTAGTGTCATGTAGCACTCTCTGCTGGACAGTATGTGCCATAACGCATCTATGGGGAACCAAGGACGAAAAGGACAACTTATCTACAGGCATCGGTACTAACATCAGCCCCATCGCCACTATGTTTTCTATTTTCAGGAACTCTTATGTTTTAGGAGAGAACTGAAAAGCATATGGTGCTTTCTGTGAAAGCCATGAAATACGATACTTTGGTATGGAGGACTAGCATGATTTGTCATGGGAGCGCAGTAATGGAGCCATTCGGGAGCCAAGGTTTAAGCAAATGACTTGAACAGTGGACATATTTGGGGTGATTTTTGGACTGGACCCCATCCATATTCTTGGGATGTGCTGTGTTGTGGTTAACAACTCAAAATGGACACTGCATTTGAGCGATGTGTTGTAGTGGCCACCGAATTGCAGCTCAATTGAAATCAAACGACCCATATTATCATATATATGTATAAAACAAACGAACAAACAAAAGCTTCCCTTTAGCTACATATTGATATTTAAATTTAATAGCCTTTTTGAAGACTTATTCCTTCAGTTGATTACATTCTGAGCAACAATCCATTAGATCTGTCCTAACGAAGAGGTTTTCTAGTGGAACCCTTCCCATTTTTTGAAGACTAGAAATGCATTCACCGATTATATACAGAAAGTTCATGACTGATGTGATCATAACTCCAGCTCTGGCCCCAAGTGTTGAAGTACCACCAGTCAAATATTGCCAACACTGCAGCTATAAAAGATCTGTTAATCTAGAAGATATGGTGACTTTCAATCTTTTGGAGTGGCAGATCTGACCCGGCTTATTGCAGATGTGTCGGTGCAAATGGATGCCCACTGCTCCCAAATGCCTCGTAACCATTGTGTTATTTTATCCAATCGCCTTCAAGTCAGTCCCAGTATATCACATCTGATTTGCCCGTTTCAGATTGGATTGCTGTTTGCATTGCCTCATTTAAACAGTTTTGCCTTGAATCTAATGTTGTGACGCTTGGGAATTATATGACTCATAAATGTCTAATGTGATAGAATAATGCATGTGCTATTTATTCATGTCATGTCATATAGTATGAATTATTGTGGTAAGATACTTTTACTTGCAGGACTAATAACACTGTTCTTGCAACTCGAGAGCAGCTGGACCTTACAAATAATAGTACATTTAAAATAAAACCCTACATTTAACGACTTTCTAATAAAGTGTAAATTATCGTATTTGGCGTTGACCCAGTATGTAAAACTTCCTTTTATATGGAATTTGCTAAAAAAATTAGAACATTGTGGCCTTTTTTCCTCTTAAGAGCTTAGCAATAATCAAAAAACAAGTGGATGAATCATTGAAGAGCATTTAAAGGGGTGGTCCAGAGTTTATTTTTAAGACTTGGTTGTGTTTATAAGATGCAAAACAATATGTGCTTATGCTTCATTTGTAGAAAATCATGTTTTTTTTTCATATATCTTATTTTGATTATATACAGCTACTCAGCTAACATAAAAATGACTGTCATATTTCCTAGTTCCTTCGAAAGGCCATCAAGAGGCTCTGATTGGTCAGATAACATAATGTTCTGTGATTCCTGGATAGGCTTCTTGTCACTAGGAAAAGCAACACCCCTCTACAAGCATGTGGTTTTGCGCTGTGTAAACACTGTCAGTCAGAGTAGCTGTTAGCCATATCAGTTTGAGCCTGAATCAGACAGAAAATAAAGAGGACACAGCTGAACATTATGCCTGCTCTCTAAAATAAAATCTTACAAGTGTCTTTCACATATATCCCAGAATAAGCCTGTGTAAGTAATATGAAACGTTTACATATCTTTTGCGTGTTTGTTATTTGAGATGTAGGACAAACGGAAAGTGGCCACATAGAGAGACACTGCAGCACTGGTGGAGATTGTTTGCGTTTACAGGAATTTGATGGATAAATATGAATTTGTAGCTAAATTGTTAGCATAAACCCATTGTTTACATCCTTGTTTATGTCCTTAATACAACATACCGTTAATGCTAGAAACTATGTATGTAATTGATAAATTTTAACAAATAAAAACACTTACAGGTTGTGGCTCACAATCCACAGCTTTGTCTTTGACGGTTGGAGCTGCTCCTTCTTTGAGGAGTTTTTAACCGAATCCAGCACTGAACTGGGAGATATTTTGGAACCTGTCCTTTGTCAAGTGCTAGTTATGTATATTTTTTTATAGTTCTCTGGAGAGCACTCTTTGTGTCATGTCCTTTGGAAGCCCAAATACAGAAACAGAAGAAGCTCTGTGAAAATAGCAGTATTTAGACTGCATTTTAGCTTTCTCTGCTATAACATTACAACGCCTCTGGCCATGCCCCTTCGCTGCACAGGTATATGCACATGGTGAATGCATGTAACCTAAAGCTTTTGTGGTCTCACTAGCCCGAATGTACTTATTTTTTATTGTTTTGTAGTCCCCAAACTTTGCTAAGCTAACTCTGTAAAGGCCAATGTCTCCCTTTGCATTGAACTTTGAGCGTATTACATCCAGAGATGTTGTTTATGTTCACACAGCTACATTTAATATGATATCATAGTGGACCACCCCTTTAAGCCACAGTTTGTTTGTTTTACTTCCTGAAAAAGAGATACATCTCTTTGCTTGTGCATCTTTTCTCATTGTTCAGGCTGCAGTTATATGCCTGTTTCATGCTCATTCTGTCCATTGCAATCCTACCAGGAATACTGTAAAATCCCTCTTGAAATTGAATTAAGATCATTTGTCTAGGTAAAAGACTACACAATGTTTTTGTCAGAGTTGTTTAATATGTAAGAACATCTGTAAAATGGCCTGAATAATATGATTTTTTTTTTTGTATTGTGCACAACATCTGGTTTTAAGAGAGGTGCCTTATGTTTACCAGGAAAATCTGTTCTGTACACAGAATTAGTCCAATGTATAAATTTTTAAGTAAAATTACCTTATTTTAGTACACAATTATGTTTTTTTCTTGACTAAATAATTCATTGGATGTGGTCATTTGAAATTAGGCATGGGTCATTTTAAGATTGTTACCGTTGTAACTAAAAGATACTGTAGATATACCACGCTCTACCTTGAAAACAGTTTTCATCTCATGCCTAGTTGAAATCCACTTTTGTGTGTACAAATGTGCTCTATTAGTATTGGTACCTTTTGTTTATTCATCACAACTTGTTTTTACACTGTGATCCTTACCTTAATAGATCCTCCACATTTTAAAAACCTAGTTGTTTATGAATGTTCCTCAGGATCACTCCATAACTATTTACAAAACATTTCAATTATCGCTGGCACCTTTAAGAAGAGGATACATGCATACAAATTACAGCATGTCTGGCAGTTACGCACGATGTGCTCAGTCTCTCACCCTGTTCTCATCACAACATGTCCTTGTGCTCTGTAATGAAGAGCAGTAGTCCAGACAGTGTGTTGTCCCCAGGCTGTGCTTTTCGTAATGATCCGTGCGTCAATTCTAAAGTAACCGTCTCCCCCCGCCGCAGCTCCAGCAGAGATGCTCGGCTCACCGGCCCCATTTTTTCTCCATGTTCCTGTTTGAAGGTGGCTATTGGAACGCCACTGCGGTTCAGTACAGCCAATGAAAGGCCTCTCTCAAAGTCTAAGGTCACTAAAAAGAGATAAAGTCCTGTCTCAGGGGCCTGGAACACTCCTGATGTAGGTTTAAACATACCACCATAGTTCAGAAGAATGTTTTTAGATGTGAGTTCCGCATTTGGCTTCTTTATGTCATCCAGGTTTGTGACGAACACCACTGGGGATTGTGGGAACCATGCTTGTTCTAAAAAGATAAGATTTGTTATTATGTGAACATTTTCTGTTAAAGTAAAATCTGCTTTGTCATGATGTAGTACTAGTGTTTTCCACTGAGGGGCAGTGTTGTTTTATTAACACCAGGGATATTAAACTCTTTCGTTCTTTGAGGCCCACAGCTCAGCAGTTTAACTTTAACCATAATTAAACACTTATGATCAAGCTAATTGTGTCCTTCAGGCTTGTTTGAAACATACCGGTAAGTGTTGAAGCAGGACATCCTTGATGTTCACAATGTGGGTCTTTTGGTACTAAATGATGTTAAAAACTAAGGTCAAATTAACTAACTGTATTAAACGGATCTCTTACCTGTTTGGCTGTATCTTTTGCCTCGTCCACTGGAATTCCTTTCTTCATTTCTCATCTGGTCTGCTTGCTTTTGGTCCCCCCTTCTTCTCTTTCCTTCTTTTCTTCTTACCATCCTCCAAACCTCATCTAGGTTCAGGCTTCTAGTTGAGCTGGCTAGTTCTTCTGTTTTACTGAACAGTTTTCCAAAAAGTTTCAAATGATCCTCTAGGCTTTGGCGTAAGGATGCTATTTCTTCCTGCAATTCCAAAACAGATCCACCAGGTGGCTCAGTGCTGTTTCCACAGCGCTCTTCCAACATGGATATTCTATTTGCTAATTGTTCCACCTCTTTTCCCAAACTCCAGAAGTCACTAACAGAGTAATCCACGTCATCCTCTGCATTCGAAGGGTCTGCTGAAGAGGTTTGGTAACCTTCTGTGTCTTTCATCTGTTGTTTCATCCCAGGCCTTTCTGAATATGGAACTGGATCATCACTATTCATCTCATCTCCATCAGGATGCTTTCTCCGAAGTGAAGTCAGGCTCCGATCATGTGTTTCAATCTTTTGCTGCATCATTTGAATTGTCTGTAAAAGATCTGGAAGACTGAGCTCTTTCTGTCGGCTTTGCGACCAGTGTGTGAATTCCAAGACTTCTTCTCCAAGTAGGACTTCCAGGACTTCAGAGTGGCGTACAGCATCATTCAGGAGGGAAGAGAAGGCGGCAGATAGGCCTTGAATTTCAGCGGACTGTTCCCTGTCTTGCTCTCTCAGGCCTTGAATCTCAAGCTTGCTGTCCAGAAATGAATCCTGTAGCTGTAAAATGCTGTCTTGAAGGCTCCTGCTTCTTCCCTGCTCAAAGGCCAATGATTCCTTCATATTCAGCAGGCCGTGCTGAAGATCTTCCATTTCAGTAGCCTCATTCCTTTCTAAATCAGCCTCCTCAAGTGCAAGACTATTCTGTCTCGCTAGTTGGGTAACATTATCCACCTCCTTCTCCAACCTAACAAGGGAACTGGTTATTACTTTACAGCTACAGGTCTGCTCAGCAGTGACTGAATCATTTCTTTGTAGTAGATTGTAGATGTTCACCAGATCAAGCTCAATTTCTCTTAACTGACCCTCATGTGCACTTACGTTAGCTGTAAGCTCACCTAGGCTATTGACCACCTTGATGTGGGTAGCTTCTAATTCCAAACCTGTCTCCGCAAAATGGACTTGAGTGCGTTGTTTGACCTCCTCTAAACTATTTCCTAGTTTCACTTGGTCTCTTTTCAGATCCTGGACGACTCTAGAAGAGTCTTTCAAAGCCTCTGACAAGCTGCTGAGCTGAACAGAGTTACTTTGTGCCTTCTCATCTATTCGAGTGATGGCCTCCCACGCTCCTGATGCCTGTGTTGGCTGGCCTTCCATCAGATTGACAAATTTATCACGCTCTCTCTGCAGTGCCCCTTCCAGCTTTTTTTGGCCAGATCTCACTTCCACAACCAAATCAGTAAGAGATTGAAGATTGATCTGTTGGTGTAACATAAATCATGAGTTATGCACACCTTTTCATGTGTTTAGAACAAGGGTTCTCAACCCAGGCCATTGAGATCGTCATTCATGCAGAGTTAGCTCGAACCCTAACTAAACAGGATTACTAGAAAAAAGTTAGGAGTTAGATCAAGGTTGCAATTGATCTCTACAGGAAAATAAAGAGTCGAAAAATGTCTGTGTTAGGACTTTGAGTAGTCATTTAAAGAATTTAAGTGATTTACTGACCTGTGATTCCTGACTTTGACTGATCTGCTCATCCAACTCTTCCTTCATTTTCGTTAGGTTGTGTTTCAGCAGTTCTTGTTGAGTCTGAAAGGTCCTCTCTATCTGATCTTTCTGTGCCTTAAGTTGAGTTTTTATTTGGCTGATTTGGAGATGGTTGTATTCTAGTCTGTCTTCAAAAGGTCCACTATGACCTTCACCCTTGCTGATGAACCTGTTGTCTTCCTTTTCCATCCGCAACTGCTGCAAGTCCCGAGACAGAGTGTTGACCTCACTGGACAGATGCTCTAGTGTTTGATTGAAGCTTTCCAGCACTGGTTGAATCTGACTCATCATTGTTGACATTAACTGATGCATTGTCAGCAGAATGGATGAATCAAAGATTGGCAGGGGCTTAGAGGTGGAGATCCCTTCTCTGTCATCTGGAATATCAATAACAAGCCATTCAAATGCTGAAGGAATATAATGTGTGTGTGTCTGATGTTGTGTGGGGGAGATTGTGTCTAGATCAGCACTTCTCACACAGTTACAGAAATAGCTGTGCTCATGCCGGAATGGAGCCCCTAGAGAAAATAATTGTGCCTGGTAGACCCTGCATGAGCTTTTTTCGGTAACTTAATCAAGAATAACCCTTTCCTTACATGCCTCCTACACAAACCCATCTCACCATGCCTAAATATACTAATAACTAATGCGTTTTTGATGGATGTTCCTTCACATGCTGTAATTGCATTGAAAACTGAATGAGCTCTTTGGCTGGATAACTTTTCTTTGAATGAGGCTAGACTCAAGGAGAAGCTATAAACCCCTTTCGAAACGCCTATTCCATGACTCATGCTAAGCTTGTGGTTCAGTGATGACTTTTTGCCCTTTTCTCCTCCATCCGCCTGCCCACATCTCTGGGTGATTACATCACATTGGAGGTTGTATATAAGAAAGAGAGGATATCCTCCAGAGGAAGACGTCATTGTTTTAGTGTTTTAATGCGGTTTAATCTAAAATTTTGGATTATACCTACTGTAATGTGTCAATTTACATGTTTTTCAGCTATGCTTAGGTGTGTATCTTACCATCAGGTCTCTTATTTGGAGAAGAATCATGAATGGGAGTTTCCTGCAGAGGTTTGTCAGCCCAGTTTGCATCTTCCATTAGGTCAGTCTCCGTCTTACCTCCTGAAAAAGTACCACCACCTACAAAGGTTAACCACAGTATTGTAAGTCTGAGTTTTAAATAATAGTCCCACGCATATTCCCCATTTCAGAAGGGTTATTTTAGGGCTTAAGCATATTCATGAACTTAATGTAGAGCATTGCAGAGCTCAAAATACTCTGTTGAAAGTTATATTAAATGGCCCAAAGTAACAATGTTATGAAACCAAATATTATTTTTACTAATATTATTTTTTGTTTTAATAGCAGGCTTAGAGGTATTTGGCACAAACCTTTACAAAAAGTCTGCCTTTTTTACTTTAAGTACAAAGGTCTATATTTAAACTGTTTTCAGTAAAAAAAAAAATAATAATTTTTAAAGGATGAGAAGATTGCAGGATACATTTTAAGTGACAAAGACTGTTACAGACCTTTCTGTGCATGGTTATTTTAACAGACTGGGAAAATAGTCTAGCATCACAATAATAGTCTGACAGATATTTTGGATATGTAGGGGAAAAGATCTTGCTGTCCCTCTTAAATCAAAACCTTAATGCTTTTCATTTACACAATGGTATTTTTTACACCTGAAACACCCAAGTATATAAATAAGTTGCACCCTTATCATCTTAATATAAACACGTGACTTTACAAAGTTACAATGCTAACTACTGTCCTGGCATGCATAATATAGCATTTTTATTTATTTTGACAATCACCTGTAAGCTAAATGTAAACAAAGGGACAATTTCACATGCAAGTTTTAAATAATCCTGCTAAGGCTGCTAGAATAATTAGAGCTGCTGGATTTTACAACGTTAATTCATCAAATTCTCCCAAAACACATGTATGTGACTGTTCAACTAAGAGAAGGATAAAATAATAGTTCTAGTAACCTGACCTAATTGAACTTAAACTCTGAAAATTCACTATAAAACTCAATTCACTATAATCTTCTATGTAAAGCTGCTTTGACACAATCCACATTGTAAAAGCACTATACGAATAAAGATGAGTTAAATTGAATAGTTCTAGTAACCTAATCATTGTGTTTCTTATGTGAATAACACACATCATTTATGTTTTAAAATAATTGTTATTGCCAACTTCATAAACATCAGTGTGTATTTTACAAACCATACATATTATGTTTTGCCACTACTTATGTGTATTTAAATGTATGATTCTCAAAATAAATGTTATTTGTTTGGAAACCTCTTTTGAAAAAGCCAAATTAGAAATTTAGAAAATTTAGACCTATTTCTAAGCTACCAGTTTTACCTAGGATTTTGGATTTTGGAGAAAACTTTTTTAACACAATTGCAAAGCTTTCTGGAGCTTAACAGTATTCATGACGTTTTTCAATCAGGTTTTAAGGCATATCATAGAACGGAGTCTGCACTGCTAAGCGTGATGAATGACATTTTGTTATTTAGGGACTCGGGGGTCTGATCCTTATGCTTCTTGACCTTACTGCAGCTTTTGACTATAGACCATGATATCCTTATTCCCCGCCTTGAGAAATTGGTGGGAATTTAGGGCGCTGCTCTTAAATGGTTTAGATCTTATTTGTCAGATAGAAGCTTTTGTGTTAATGTTGGTCAGACCTTTTCATCCTCCACACGCCTGACATGTGGAGTTCTGCAAGGGTCTATTCTTGGACCTATTTTATTTTCTTTTTATATTTTACCTCTAGGATCTATTTTTCGTAAATATGTGGTGGCTTTTCATTTTTATGCTGACGACACTCAGACTTATGTTCCTTTTAAAAGTAGTGATAAAAATGGGCTTGACTCCCTTATGAGATGTCTAGTCGAGGTTAAGACCTGGCTTTTGTCAATTTTTTTTTAAATTTCAATGAAGAAAAAACTTGAGCTGGTCTGGTTTGGTGATCCTAACCTTCTGCATTTAGTAGGTTTTGGTGAGCTATCAACTTATCAAAAACCTGTTGTTAGAAACATAGGGTTTCATTTCGATAGTGACCTGAAATTTAACAAACAAGTAAATTCAGTTCTTAAATCCAGTTTTTACCATCTACGACTTGTGGCAAAAGTGAAGTAATTTCTCTCTTTTAATGACCTTGAGAAGGTGATCCATGCTTTTATTTTGGGAAGACTTGACTATTGCAATTCTCTATATGTGGGTATTAGTCAAAATGCCCTGAATAGATTGTAATTAGTACAAAATGCAGCTGCGAGACATCTGACAGGGACTCGCAAGTATGAGCACATATCCCCAGTTCTTTCCTCTTTGGACTAGCTGCCTGTTAGGTCATGGATTGATTTTAAACTATAAATGTTTGTTTTTAAATCCTTAAATGATCTGGCACCACCTTACTTATCAGACCTACTACAAGTGTGTAACCCTGGTAGGTCATTGAGGTATTCTGATCAATTTGTTCTTTCTGTACCAAGGTCCCAGTGTAAGTGAAGTGGGGATCAGGCTTTTGCTGTTATCGCCTCAAAACTCTGGAACAGGCTTCCACCCCACATCAGACATGCTCCAACTCTACTGTATCTGTTTTTAAAAAGGTTTGAAACTCCATATTTGTTCTTTAGCACTTGTGCCTTTTTAATGTTAAGGGGTTTGCTTTATGTTTTAATTGTTATGTATGTGATGTAGGTTTTGTTTTATTTAGTATTGGTTGTGTTTAGCACTTTGGGCAATGTTGTGTTGTAAAAAATGTGCTATATTAATAAACTAACATAAACAAAACACTGATTTATTGCGATTTATGAAAAGGACCATGCTTTTCTTATTGTAGCTCAGAGCTAGCCATTGTAGGACAGCCTATTTAAGTTAAAAAACTAATGACACAACACACTGAATGTTGTAAATACACCGTTGTTGTCAACTGCTCCAGGGACTTGCCAAGACTGATCACACAGGTGTGATCATATGTTTTAAATGGTTAAACATTATTACTGCTTTTATCCTTCTGGCATAAGTCACTGTTTCTCCAGCTATCCTGAGTGCCAACTGACTCTCCCTTTCCTGTTGATAGACATTCACTGAGCCACAGGCCTGCTTAATATTTCCTCTGTTTGTCAGAAAAGGGTGTTTTAAAAACAAAGGAGCCAAGGTATGAAAGGTTAAAGGTAAAGCCAGCCTTGCCCAAAACAACAAACTTGCCTGAGTTGTCATTGTCATTAACCTCAGACTTTGAAGCTAGCTTCTCATCCTCTGAAGGTTTGTCTGTAAAAAAAAAAAAAGATTAAAAGGAAGCAACACATGAGTCGCCAACACTCGATGGGCCACTCTGCTATTCCTTTTATAGGGATAGTTCAACCATGAATGAAGTTATGCAGGATGTTTCGTTTTTTTTTTCAAGCTAAAACTATGGTCCTTGGTTATCAAAAGTCAAGAATTACTGGTGTTTTGAGAGTCTTGAGTCTGGAGCCAAGCTTCCTGTCGTATACTGACACATGCACAAGCCCAAACTCAAACATGATCGAGCAAAGGCTGTTTGTTTATTGTGGAGCGAGAAGATGAGTGTCTTGTATTGTTTATCAAAATGCCACATTTGCATATCTTGAATGTTGCAATCTATGTTAAAGAGCCCCTATTTTGCATTATGAAAGGTCATATTTTGGTTTTGGGGGTCTCCAACAACAGGCTGATATGCATGCAAGTTCAGAAAACACTTTCATTGTCTTATAATACGCAATTATTTTTACCTAATTATCCCAACGACTCCCATATGATTTGTTCAGCGATTCATTTGTTCCCAATCCCCTTTTTTTGCGTGAGGCTAATCTGTGCTGATTGGTGTGATGGCCCAGTCAGTTGTGATTGGTCGACTGGGTTCAGCAAGAGACAGAGAGAAACGCCCACCACGGCTATGCACACTGCCCAATGCAGGAATGCAATAAAGCAATGCAGTTAAACACCAGCATATCAGTCCACTCTTAAACCTAACCCCAAGTAATAACAACAACACACATTTATATTAATTCGAGTTCAGGAACGCATTTAAATCGGTACAAGAAAAAGCACCTTTTGCTTTTCAACGTGGTTTTGGACATGATATGTGAACAGCCCCATAGAGATTTTCCCTGAAAGATACATTACAAGCAGTGGTCTATAACAGGTATGTGATTATAAGTTGCACGGAGCGATTACAAATTACAACACTCTTAAATGCATATTTTGCAAACTACAGAAAACAAGGCAACAATTTTAATTACACTTACTGTACATGTTATGATCTGGATGGAGGAAGAAACTGGTCCATATGAACTGTAACAGCTACTCACAATGTCTCTGTCAAAGTTTGACAAAGTCCCATAAATATTGTCTATGCGGCCCCTTCCTTTAATAGCAGATGTCTGACTAGTTCTGCATTGCAGTGTAGGTTATTGTATCAATCATCAAGTAAATGACAGGAGCAAACACAGCACATGGTTGGCTTTACTGTGGCATTGTTGTGAAAATGAACTTTAACTCAGGTGCGTTCAGGTTTTACCAGAACCAGCACTTCATATTTGATGATGTATCATATCGACGTTGACGTGTTCAAGCTAAAGATCTGAATCCAAACCGATTCATTTATTCAGAGTCGACTGTTTCTTTAAAGAATCAATAGTTTTAAACAAGGTGCACTTTCAGATTTAAACCTCAGCTGGATGTTTTCTCTTAGAGCTGTGTTTCACACTGCATGGATGGTCATTTTCAAAAACCCATAGGGCTGTAAATGGTTGTAAACAAACAGTGTAATTAATGCAACAAAGCTTGTTTGTAAAGATTGTTTGCTGGGGCTGTGGATTAAAGGTAATAATGTTGTAAATAATTTTCAGTTTTTTCCCCATTCCGATTATTTTCCCTTCTAACACCTTAACGGCACGTTTTAATTTAGTTTTTCATGTATGTTTTTTCTTTATCTTTGTAAAGTTCCAGTAGCAACTGGCATTTTATGAATTGCCAAGGACCAAAGTTTCAGATAAAAATCCTCTGTTATGTTCTTCACATGTCATTGATGGGTACTAAATATACCAGGTTATGTTGCTTTATGATAAGTATCAGCTTTATTTATTATCTAGGTTTTAAACAAGGCTCATTCTGAAAACGTCCCCCTATATACATTTCTGGAAGTCACAAATTATGTAGTTAGAGCTATGTATGGCTGCATTTCGTCTTTCAAACAAACGCTACGGGTGGGATGATGTCATTCCTTTTCTCGCTTACATGCATTTAGGGCCTACTCACACTATGCTATCCGAACCATGCCCAGGCCCGTTTTCCCCGATCTGTTGAGAAGTGTGAGTGCGCTGAATCGGGCTCAGGCACGATTCACTTGGCTGGCCCGGTTGGAAGAGGTGTCTGAGCACGGTTTACTTTTTGTGTTGTGTAATCATTCTTACTGTTAAGTGAACGTAAACTGCCGTAGTTTATTAAAGGCTTTCCCGCTGTTACCAGTTTGTCCGGTAGCTCGAAATGTTCGTCGGCGGACTTAAAGTGAAGTTGATTGCAACGATAGGGTTCGGGTCCAGTGAAAAACTGTTCCAGAAAGCCGGTAAGATAAAAACGGAAGCCAAAAAACAAAACAAACAAGTAAATAACAGGGTAAAAATGTGGTCAAATCTGAAATTGTGGTAAAAATCAAGGGCCTTTTCTTTTTTCTTAAATTGCTTTTCAATCAGTCGATTAGTCGGTCCATCAGTAAATTTGTTAACTGCGGTATCTGGTGGATTTACGTGTGAGGAGCAGGCACGAATGGCACTTGCAAGAGAAATTTGAGATCTCAAAAAACATACACACCGGCCTCTGGCAGATTCGCAATAACAAAAACTGCGGAAAAAAACGTAGCTCCTGCGACGTATTTTGCTCTCTCCAGAAATGTATATGGGGTATGTCTTAAGAATTAGCCTGGGTTGCTTTAAAAGTGTTGAAATTACATCTACAGTGAACTATTATCCAGATGTATTGTTACCTTTTTCCAGGCAGTTGTGTCCACTGTAGCCTGGGCAACAATTCCAGTGAATAGAAGAGAGGGTTGTATGCTTCTGCTTGTACGCTGGCCGTAAGGACTGCTTATACCTGATCATCATCATCATCATGATCATCATCATCACATCTTTAAAAAATGTAAGTACTAAGGCTGTTTATGAGAGTGACTCACATGAGGACTTGACAGTCAGGACCTCCTCCAGGACAGGGGTTCAATGACTTCACTGTTTGAGTCTCTGTAGCACAGAGTGCTGCTGTGGTGACCACACGGTGATTCACATACGCACACCAGTTTCTGATGGGAGAGACGAGGTTTGAGTTAATGTGAAAAAAAGAAGGAAAAGTGAAAGATGAGAGCAGAGATCACAGGCAATTGCAGACTGATGAAGATACACGCTCTTGTTTTCCTGTTGTACCCTTTCCAACATGCTCAAGGCAAGATATTATCATTGAGCAAGAGGTTTTATATGTCGTTCTATTGGCACGTTCGTTGCATTTGTTTTTAGCTTTCTGTTGTATCGGAGAAGATCTGATGAATCCACATTGATTACAATGTTTACACATCTTTAATCTTATTTTGGCAAGTCTGTGCTTTTCTGTGGTGTAGTATTTCGTAAACATGCACAAAATACATTCTGCAAAATTGACCTAGTTTGTGAGTCTGTTGCATCCTGTCAAACACTGGACAAGTATGTTTAAAAAGGTGACGACTGTTCTCAATTGCATGTTGTGTAATAGTCTCATTTCCCAACACTGACAATAGCCGATGACGTATAAACTGTCACACTGGTTTAGGGGACAGTTCAGAGTATTGTTCTCATTAGGATCATTATACCAGACCTCAAATACATGAATGGGGTTATGACTGTCTGGCTAGGTTCACTGTTTGTTCAGATTCACTGCTTGGTCTTGTAAAGCTTATGGAACAGTTTATTCCCCTCAGATGACTTTTAGCATCTGTGCACATGGGATTTGGTCTTGTTTATTTTCTGGAAATGGGACACAAATGCATTGCTCTGCCTTTTTATTTCCGACATTATTTCCCACAGTTCTGAATACATACAGTCTTATGCAAAAATTTGGGCAACCCTCTGTCGCTGCATGGTTGTGAGCTCTATCTTTATAAGAGAAGATCACAGTAGAATGCCATTCAGTTTGTAGAGAAAGGTAATGAGCTATTTTTTAGACAGAACTATGTAGCGTAGCTGTATGCGATTAGTGAAAATAAATTGTAACTGTGTTCAATCTCTTTTGTGTGGATTTCAAAACTTGTATTCACTTAATGCTGATTGATTACAACACAAAATTTATTTGAGTGGTTCAGTGAACCCTAACAATTCTAACACAGGTGCAACCAGTCATGAAAAAGGATACCTTAGACAGCTGATTGCTAGTTGTGCTTCTCCTTATTGTGAACCTGAAAGCAGCAACATGGGAACCTCAAAAGAACTTCCTAATGGCCTAAATATTTGGATATTTCATTAACATGAATTAGTAGAAGAATGCAAAAAGCTATCAGAAAGGTATAAAGGCTATATTTCAACAGTCAGGAATATAGTAAGAAAATGGAAGACCACAGGAGCAGTTGTTGTGAAGGAAAAATGTGCTAGACCAGGGATTCTTAACTGGTGGGCTGCAGCCCACTAGTGGGACTCAGCGAGCTTGCAGGTGTGCTGCAGGATTAAAATTAACTCTCACTATTATCCTATAATTTTTGGATTTCATTATCAATATGCTGTATTAAAATGATCTAAGTAATGCATTATTCTCCTCTTCCCTGATTGAGTACTTACTCAACACAAAAACAGTCTGTTCGTTCACAAACTATGCGTGAAGTGGAACTGAAAGTCTCTCTTTGTGTATTTTTGTGTAAACTATTTCATATATCCACATAGTTGTCCAAATTAATGTCCTGTGTGTGTTATAAACGGACGTGCGCTCATACAGGAGGATCTAGCGAGGCTCAGAGGTGTTTCTGCCATAGAATGTAAAATAAACTCTCATATGAGCTTCAGACGCGCTCTGGCGGAACTAATTACGGTCCCAGTCAGCGATCTCCTAGTAATTTTCAGCTGCAAACTCAACCACAATCAGATCGACGAATTTCAACAGATTTAGGGTGTTTTACTGTATTTTACAACTAAATATATATTTCATATAAAATGATAAAATTCTATATATTTTTTATAAAATACTGATTATAGGAATGCAGCAACAAAAATATGAATTAAAAGTGAAGAATTTCTTAAATTCATTTATTTATTTTTCATGTTTTGTGTAAATTAAAAATAATTGATTTGAACAAATATACAATTACACAAAAACTTATTACCACAAAATAATCATATTAATCAATAATAGAAGACACAACAAATGTATTTTATATTATTATTATTATTATTATTATTATTTTAATACATAAAGGTTTAAATGAGCATTTCATACATACATTTTAGAGAAAAGTAAAAAATGTTGAGAACCCCTGTGCTAGACCAAGAAAAATATCTGAAAGCCATTATGGGCACAGACAAACAACAGAACACCTCCAAAGAGCTCCCGGAACATCTTGCTGCTTATAATGTCAATATACATCATTCCACACTCTTTACAAAGCTCAATGGAATGTTGAATATTTATTTTTATTTTTTTTATTTTTTTATTTTATTTTATTTTTTTTTGAGAACTTTGGGAAATTAAGTTAGAACTGCGAGACAAACTAGAAGAATACATTTCAAATCTAAGAGAGGGGGGGTGATATATATATATATTAGGGTTGGGCATCTAAGCTATAATGCCGATCCGATACGTATCTCGATACAAAGAATACGATCCGATATATTAGCGATACATTTGTGACATATTGCGATGCAACACGATACGATTCACACCCATATCACGATACGATGCGATATTTCAGCACTAACTAATTAGATCAAGTTTATGAGATTATGTGAAAGAGGATGCTGTGCCATTGAATGAGTTTGATTATTTATAAACCAAGCAAAACCAAGACTTTTTTTACAAACTGGCTTTTCTCTCAGAGCCAGAGTGTCAGTTTACAGTAGAGGGCCATTTTAGAACCTATAGCACATATTATTTAAGTATTTTCAAGATAAACAGAATGTATAAGTGCAATATATATTAAAAAAATATGTATATATTTGCACTCTTTCAACATAAATAAATTTAGCATTGCACAACAAGAATTGTGATTTAACTTTTCAACTATGAAAACAAGTTTTACAAAGATATATTTTGCCACTGATTATTCAAAACTTAAGGTGGTAAACTAGCAGTGTTATGCTGCTTTGATACATCACTGTCACTGTAAACAACAGGCTAATAAAAATATAACAAACCAGCAATCTTCTTGCTGTGAGGTGGTCAAACTACCCACTGTGCCACCGTGACACCCAATTATTTTTATCATTATTATTATTAATATTATTATTATTATAATTAAATAAAAATTAACAGGAGGAGGTGTTTAAAACTTTCATTTAACATACATTGAGTTGTAGTGTGTGCACATCCGCAAATCCGTTGCTAAGGCTTACTTTATGTAGGTCGATTAAATTATGCGCCAAAAACAGGTTAACAACACTTGTTAATAAATAAAAAATACATTCTATATTAAAAATATAAGCTGTATCTCGGAAAAATCGATGCATCTCGCAAAAACCGATGCATCTCGATTTGCTTCCAAAATTTCATTCATCCTCTGCTGCTCAACCGATGCACTCGCATCGTGCACGCGCATGACCGCGTATCGATACATATCGGTTAATCTTCCCATCCCTAATATATATATATATATATATATATATATATATATATATATATATATATATATATATATATATATATATATATATATATCATAGCTTTTTTTTCCTTTTTCAAGTTTTACAACCATTTCTTTTCTTAATTTTCTGAATTGTAATGATTTGTTATACACTGGTTTGGTAAAACTTTAAAGTTGTGCTAGTTAATGTTAGTTAAGAGCAATCAATAAACAATAGATTTATTACAGTATTTCTTCACGTTATTTAACGTGAATACTAACAGTTCTTGTTAACTCATGGTGCGCTAACTAATGTTAACAAGCAACAAGTTGGATGTTAATCATGCATTAGTAACTATAATTAATAATTAGTGTACAAGATTTGTTCATATTTAGTTCATGTTTGTAAATACATTACCTAATAAAACCTCATTGTAAAGTGTGATCACTAGTTTTTGCATACTACAGTTTCAATTAGCAGGGATTCTGCAGGTCTTGGTGCTTCTGGAAGATCGTGGAATTTTAAAAAGGCTATTTCAGACATTAAAAGTCAAGAGGATTTCATTTTTTATCCATTGAACATCAAGGGGTTTTGTTTGTCTATTTTTATTTATTACTCACTGAAATTATATCACTGAAATTCACTGGATTTACAAAGTGGTTGTAAACAATACATGGGCTGAATTTAAGACACATTAAATTTAGCAATGCTCAACATTCAAATTTGTGTTTAAATTCAGCTTGAATCATCAGCAATGAACCATTTTTTAGTGCCATTGTAGTTTTAAAGATTAATTTCTTAGGCTGTCTCACTATTCTGACTCTATTTGTAAAATAGTTTGTGAAAGTAAACGCTGTTTAACCTAAATCACATCTCCATTCAGTTCTAGTTGTATAAAATGAGAGAACACTTCCTGTATGAACTCATGCTTTTTCAACTGACCTTCCTTTGTGCATCCGCTACAGCAGAAACAAAGAGATGAGATAAAAGTAGGCTGTCCTGTTTCCTCACGTTGCCACCTTCAACCAAAGTCCCCTTTGTCCAGTAAAACATCAGCCCCCATTCAGCCCCTAATTCAGTCATTCTAGCCCTGTCTGCCGCTTTATAACTTTATCAATGATCTGTCTCCATCTACCCACATCTGAACATCCTTCATCAGACCACCTCTCTTTCATCTCGGCCTCTCTTTATCTCTCTTTTATTTTCTTTTAAACACCTAAACACTCAGGGCTAGCGCTCCTCTTGTGTCTTTTCTGGACACAGCTGTTGTAGTCTTTTGTTCTGGTCTAGACTAAAAGGTATACATCCCATTTTAAAAACTGCTATTATGTGAGCATCTAAATTCTCTTTCACTAAATCTTATTCTCCAGAAAGAAGTAGAAAGCTTTCAAAGAGACTTACTGTGTTACCAAGACTGAAATATCAGCTAAAACATTTAAAGAGAGCTGACTATATAGATATACATATACATGACAAGACCAATCCTATACATTCAGTACAGGCCTCTTCATCAGTGTGTGTTTCTTCACTGTGTCAGTCACTGTAATACTTTCCCAGCATTTGTTTAGAGATTAGATCACTGAAGCCCAAACTTGTAAGATTACTGTAATCAAGCCTCTCAGGCAAATTCATTTGTTTTTGTTTTGGTTTCCCTCCCTAAATATAGGGAAAGAAAGCACTGACTTATTTAATATAACACTAATGAAATCAAGACTTTGTGGAATAGATGTGTACAGTCTGATGGATACTGTATGAGGTTCCAATGTATAAGAAAATGAGAAACACCATGGGCACATGATGGAATTAGTTTCTTTTGGTCTTGAAGACTTTAAACTTTTGACTTTTTGTAGAGAAATAGAAATGAATGTGGTTTAATTTTTATTATTTTTTAATGCATGTCAATGTAAAGCATCATTGATAATGGATACATTTTATTGTTACTTGTTTAAATGGATTTGTTTGGCCAAATAACATGGGAAATGCAGCCAACTACTGTCGTTCAAACATTAGAATATGTTTGGGAAAGCATTGCAAGATTGAGACTAATCTTAAAAGGCTGAAATTTAAGTGTTTTTTTAAAGCCTCTTATTCTCACCAAAGCTGCCATTTTTTATAACAATAATACATTTTAATTGATATTACAATTGTTTAGAATTTTATTTAAAATACTTGTTTTCTATATTAACACAGTGCTCAGCATAATTGATTACACCCCATTTTAAAAATGAATATTTTTTTTACATTTCTCAGGGAATATAGACAATGTATTTTTGTGCATTTTAACAAAACAGTCACCAAACATTTAGAAATCGAAAGACAATAAAATTAAATTCAAGCTAAATATTGCAAAATGAAATTACAACCTACAAAATTTCAGCTATTTTTTTTCTTTTGATTTTTCCTCTTCTTTTTTTTGTTTGTATTTAATATTTTTCTATAACATTTTTGTGTACTAGTTTTTGAAATGTTATCGTAAGTTATTTGTTAGATAAGCTCCAGATTTGTCTTCAGTACTGACTAATCTAATGTGTATGCACAAATGTAATATTTTATAGCTTCCTATTAAAAAAATATGAATTTAAAAGAAAGATTTGTGGGGGGTGTACTTGTATATGCTATTCACTGTATTATAAAATGTGATGTGTTTAGAATGTGATTAATACTTGTATACTTTTAGCATCATTGCTCCAGTTTTCTGCATTTCATGATCCTTCAGAAATCATTTGTGTATGTTGAATTATTTATTATATAAAACATTAATGCTGCTTAAAATAGTTGTGGAAAACTTAATTTTAGTCTAATTTGGTCTCCGTTTTTAAGGGTTGTATGAATGAAAGTCCAAGGTGAAGTCCAGCATCATATTTACAGTCGGTAAATTTTCTCAGATTAATGTCTTTTTAAAAACAAAAGTACTTTAACTTTTTTTTAAACAATAGTATAACAATAGACTAATATTTCAGAACTTTTAACTTACCATTCTACAATGTGGAATATGTTAATAATAAGGAGCAGGCATGTCCAGACTTCTCACTAGTCCCATAAAAGTTCAGCAAGTGATGGCTTTAAATATTTGTTGACCTATGACCTTGCAACTTGTCTGAACAGATATATTACACATTACTTACAATTATATTACACACATAAAAATAAAGGTCTGAAAAAAAAAAGCTCATTATTGGCATTGATAGTTCAACAAAGAAACTTTAGCATCCACAGAAATCAAAAAAAGCTTAAAGGGGCTAATAATTTTGACCTTAAAAGGGTTTTTAAAAAATTAAAACTGCTTTTATTCTAGCCAAAATAAAAATAAAAAACTTTCTTCAGAAGAAATATATAGCAGACATACTGTGAAAAATCCCTTGCTCTGTTAAACATCATTTGATAATAATAATAATAATTATTTAACAGTACCTTACAATATAAGAAACAAAATGGTAAATAATACTTTAAGAATGTGGTATCACTGCAAAAACTTTATTTTCAGGAGTGTAACTAATGTATCTTTCCCATTTATCCATCATATTGAACTTCATATTGTAACTAAGTTTTCTTCAAACTAAGTGCAACTAGTTTGAATGGAATATGCCTGTTTGACTCACCCTCTTCGTGTAGGTGGATGGACAGTCTCTCTCAAAGCCGCTGAGTCTTGAGCTGTGCCAGCTGGAGGCATCGGGATGCCCTGATGTGACTGTTCCATAAGGTGAGCCGTCTCAATAGTGCCAGTTGGTTTTCCTAAATTCCCTACAGCCTCCTCTTCCTCCACGTCAGGGTCCCGGGCCCTCACCTCACTGTGGCAGCTCAGAGAATTCAGCACAGCCAACAGCAGCAGAGGCAGAGTCTGGGCCATCCTGCTTTTCAGAGGTACTGAATATGTTCCTCCGGGTGGCAGTTTTAAAAGTAGCCTTAAACAATCCTGGAAACTCCCCACCCCTCTCTCCTTCTCTCTCTCTCTGTCTGTCTGTTTAAAGCAGCCGGTATCCAGCATGTTTTTCTCCCCACCCTCTCAGTTCCCACTCCCCCTCGCACTCATTCCCTTCTCCTCCTTGACAGTATCAACACCCTCCAACAATAGGAGGAAATCTGACGCTTACTAACAACCATAAATCCATGTTTTGCTCTGCTTGCAAACTTACAGCACACTTCCACAAACAAACTCACACACTGAAGATCCTAGTTTGCAATAAAAAGGTAGCTGTAAAATTAACAAACATAAGAATGTACAACTGCATTTTTTATAATTTACGCCAGCCCAATCTCATGAGGAAATGTAACTATTTGACATACTGTCGGAAAAGTGGCTGATTGTGCGAATCATTCATTCATTTTTTTGTTAGCTTAGTCCCTTTATTAATCTGGGGTCGCCACAGTAGAATGAACCGCCAACTTATCCAGCATGTTTTTACACAGCGGATGCCCTTCCAGCCGAAACCCATCTCTGGGAAACATCCACACACACTCACACACACAAATACACTACGGACAATTTAGCCTACCCAATTCACCTGTACCGCAAGTCTTTGGACTGTGGGGGAAACAGGAGCACCTGGAGGAAACCCACGTGAATGCAGGGAGAACATGCAAACTCCACACAGAAACGCCAACTGAGCCGAGGTTCAAACCAGCGACCTTCTTGCTGTGAGGTGACAGCACTACCTACTGCACCACTGCATCGCCTTGTGCAAATCAATATGATTTTATTCACAAGAAGATGAGCCACCAAACCCCACCCCCCATTTGTGGATGAGCAAATCATAATAAAATGATTATAAATAGGGCTGTCCCAATCAGGTTTTTTTTGCCCTCGAGTCAGTCATTTAATTTTAAGTATCCACCAATACTGAAACCCGATCCGATACTTCTATAATTCATAAGAAAATAATTTTAAAAAGTGAAGAAACAGATCCAGTATGTTCCTTTTTTTATTTAATTCACCTTATTTTAACATTCAACAACTCTGTTAACACACAGAGCACTTCTGAGGGGTAGCTTGAACAATCAAATAATAAATAACATAAATTCTTCACTTTTGGACCTTAGTGTATTAGAAAATATTTTTTTAAAGATCTAATATAAAAATAAAGGGCAACTCAAGTTTAAAAAAAATCTCAAGTTTACATATCTCACAGTTTGCTATAGCAGTTTCTTTGTAGCGTATTGGTTTTGTGCCTGCACTTGGGGACACTTTCAAAGTTTTCCCAGTTTTTCGGACTGACTCACTTTCATTTCTTAAAGTAATGATGCCCACTCATTTTTCTTTACTTAGCTGCTTTTTTCTAGCCATAATACAGATTCTAAGAGTCTATTCGGTAGGACTATCGGCTGTCTATCCGCCTGACTTCTGCACATCACAACTGATGGTCCCAACCACATTTACAAGGCAAGGAATCCCACTTATTAAGTCTGACAGGGCACACCTGTAAAGTGAAGACCATTTCAGGTGACTACCTCTTGAAGCTCATCAAGAGAATGCCAAGAGTGTGCAAAGCAGTAATCAAAGCAAAATGTGGCTACTTTGAAGAACCTAGAATGACATAATTTCATTTCTTTTTCGCAATATTTGTTATGTATATAATTCCACATGTGTTAATTTAGAGTGTTGATGCTTTCAGTGCGAATCTACAATTTTCATAGTCATGTAAATAAAGAAAACTATAAATAAGGTCTGTACAAACAAGGTGAGCGCATTAAAAATAAAAAAACATAAAAAAAGCTCACAAAATTTCAGTTCTTGCCATCAAAACGATGTTTTAGGCAACCTCAAGTAAAGAAAAATGTGTATCAAATGTCATTTGTGCTGACTGCCATTAGAATTTTAAATATTGGGGTTTAAGTATGTAGGGTTTTAATTGAGCTTTTAATGTGATTTATGTGATTATATTGAATGTATTTGTGTTGCCTGTTTTTCTGTGATATGTGTAATGTGTACACAGATGTGGTAGTGTGGTGAAGCCAAAGATAAATTTCCATTTGTGGACATTAAAGAAAGTTTGTATAAATGAAATCATACAAATTAGCCACTAAATCGAAAAGTTATGAACTGTTGGGAACTTACATTGTCTGCACTGATTAGCAAACATTATGACCAGTCAAATAGGATCTCAGAAAGGTTTATGGGTGGCTTCTGGTCAGCAGAACAGTGGTCCAAGAAGGGACAAACCACAAACCAGCAAGTGTTGGCGCCCAAGGCTCATCTCGTCTGGTCGGAGCCAACAAAAGGTCTTCTGTGGTGCAAGTCACATAAAATTTTAATGATTGTTATGGGAGGAATGTGTCACAACACAGTGCACTGCACACTGCTGCTTATGTGTAGAGACAGACCTGTCAGGGTGCTTATGATGACCCCTGTCCTCTTTTGAATGTACCTATAATGGGCACACAGGAATCAGAACCAGACAACACATGCTCATTGGAAATACATGCTAAACAAACTTAAGCATACATTTCACTGCAGTTTGTGGATAAATTGACGTTGTTCTTTTTCACACTAATGATGTTTACAGTGGCATGCTATCAACAAATAATAGATTATGTCAATCAAGCATAGTTTAGAAGCACTAAAGTAGACATAGTTAAGTAGATCTTAATAAAAATGTCTATGTACAAAATAAACTAAAAACATTATGTAATAGAGATAAGAGTAGTTAAACATATTTAAATAACAAATCATTAAAATGACAGACACTAGAGGTAACCTGATTGGTAAGTTCACGCTAATACGAATGATGACACATCTGATTTTCTATAAACCAGAGTTTTAAATGTTTTTGAAACACATTGTAAGTTGTTATTTCTCTGATGCTGCCAGGGACAGAGTTCCACTCCTGTGCAGCTGTAACTGAAAAGGCTCCCTGACCAAAGGCACTTTTCTGGATGTGGTACAATACAGTGTCCTCGGGCTGCTCCTGGTGTTGCTCTCTGTGTGGTGTTCCTTATGTTTACAAACCGACTGAGAGGTGAGATGACAGACCATGAATGATTTTATACATCAGACAAATGTTTGAATACTTAATGACATTTTCCCAGTTTAACAGTTTATGTTTTTGTAAAATGGTCTACTGAAGATGTCTTAGAGGCCTTTTATCTGGTATTTTAATTAAAGTCTGTTTGTATAGTGATTTTGGGTTTTAGCATTGTTTTGCTTGCCTGTGACCAGGTAGTTAGACAAGACTGGTTTAACCATTCTGAGACATGAGCCATAGCTCGTGTAAGTTTATCTGCTATTTGAGTTGTGTGTTTACCATTTGTATAAATGACTGTGTCATCTGCATACATGTGAACAAGGACATTTGCACAGACTGAAGGAAGGTCGTTTATGTATAGAGGAAATAACATGACATATTGCTTGGGTTTAGGGAAAGGCTAGGTCAGTGGTTCGGTAGGTGATCTGCACGATAAGCCCTGCCTTTCTCATAGATGTGTACAAGAAGTCATGTATTTCAGATTCACAAAAATGTATCCTGAAAAAAAAATTCAAAGGTTCCTTGAATTTCCTTTTTTTTTTTTTAGGTAAATAGTTGTAAATAATTTATTTGGCCTGAATTTAAACAAACAAATTAAGTTGAACATTAATAAATTAATTAGGTTGTTTAAATGCAACACATATAAATTGATTGCAACAGTATTGCAGACATTATTTGTTTCAGTGTAGGCAAAGCCCTCTTGAGGATTTGTCATCTGAAACATGCTCAGAGCATGTATTTTAAGTTTCACAAAAAGGCACATTTCCAATTACCCTGGACTGGAACTAGACCTTGGCCTGGGAGAAGGTCACTTGGTCTGATAAGTCTAGTTGTCTTTTGGTGGTTTGCTTAAGCATTGACACCACTGCTACGTTGTGGGACATGATAAGCCAGTGGAGGGAGTGTGATCAACTTGACCAAATTGCTGTACATAGGGGTACTAAAGACAGAGAAGAAAGCAGAATATTAAAGAAGCATTTAACAAATAAAAGCAATAAAACAGTGATCAATGAATATTAAAAGTGAGAGACAATAGATAGGTCTTTAAAACAGACTTAAGCACAGAAATGGAGGGGAAAGTCTAATGTGAATTGGTATAGTGTTCCAGAGATTAGGACCAGCAACAGCAAATGCTCCATGTGTTCTGGGCACGGTGAGTAAATTGAAATCATAAGATTTTAATGATCGAGAGGGGGTATATTGTCTGTCCACAAGACTTTGCAAACAAATAATACAATTTTAAAATCATTTCTGTATTTAATGGGTAACCAGTGAAGTGCAGCTAAAATAGGAATTGCTCATACTTGTGGGAACCAGCGAGTTGTCTGCATTTTGTACCAGCTGCAGATGAGAGAGAGAACACTGAGTAATACAGTAATCCAGTTGTGTTGTTACGAAGGCACGAATCACTGTTTGAGACTTTCTCTGGGATAAAAATGGCTTGACTTTAGACAGTTGTCTGAGGTGGTAAAATAAGGATTTTACGACAGTACTGATCTGTTTATCAAATTTTAAGTTTTCATCAAACATAATACCGAGATTTCTTGCACACTGGGTAATATGTGGGGCCAAAGATCCCACATTGACATTTAACAGAGAATTTTATTTGTGCCCAAATCAAATGACATCAGTTTTAATTAGACATGCTCAGTACCTAACATACTTTCAGAATAGGTACAATCATGGTTATAGTGCTCACTGGTAAAAGTGGCCTCTTTCTGCAGGATAATGCATGTTGTCCCACTGCACACATTGTCTAGAAATGGCCTGTATAACAGTGAATAGTTCAAGGTGTTGTCTTGACCTCCAGATTCCCCAAATAGGAATTTTTTTGAGCATCTGTTGTGCTGGACTAACAAGCAGTTTCTACTTCCAACTCACAATCTACGGGCCATCAAAAATCTGCTGGTAATGTTTTGGTGGCAGAAACCTCAAGACTTATTGAGGTTGAGTCCATGCCTTGGTTTTTTTTAATTGTTGAACACTGCTGCAAGTTTACATGACTTCAAAGATCATTTTTTTGTGTCAAGAACAGTTTAATAATCTACAGTTATTTCCACAAAAAACTGCCATTGTTATTAAAAGTTCTTCATGGGTGCAAAGATGCCTGTAAAGAAATGTATTAACATTACTAGTGCACATTATACTTTATGGCTCAAAGAAATGTTGTTTGCATAAAGGAGAAAAAAAAAATGATTTCTGCTTTGCTATAAATATACGCCATGATTCCAGTCCAGAGATTGTCTGCAGTGATAAATGGCGAGAGTTTTTATAACACACAAGAGCCCTTGTTCTTCGT